CATCAAAGTGATTAACATAACCAAGCTGGTGCAAATGATTTTCAACACTTGATTTGGATATTTTGAGTATGTCGGCTATCTCCCGAGTGGTGTAACATTGATTGTTCTCAATTAATGTCTCGATTTGATTGCTATCAACTTCAATTGGGCTACCAGACCATGGAGCATCGTCCAGCAAATCTCCAGCACAAAACTTCACAAATCACTTTTGACACATTCGATTAGTTACAGCACCTTCTCCATACACTGCACAAATCTTTCTTTGCATTTCAGTTGCGTTTCTACCTTTCTTGAAACAATAGAGCATAATATGCCAAAAATGTAGCTTTTCTTCCATCTTCAATATTAAAATGGCTACACAAAAATTCACTAATTTTGATAAGCTTTTTTAAATGCACGCTGATATGACAGCTGTCACAACACAATCTAATAAAATTGTTTCAAATGAAGTTAAAGATAACTAAGTGCTGCTAGAGCCATCTCACGGAAAAAACTGAACAAACTTTTTGGTCAACTCAATACCTGTTGGCTATCTGTATGTCTTCTTTGGAAAAATCTGTTTATTCAAATCCTTTGTCCATTTTTCAATTGGATTTTTGGGGTTTTTGCTACTGAGTTGTGTGAGTTCTTTATATTTTTTGGATATTATCCCTTATCAGATAATTCTTATTTCTGAAAGCTGACTTTTTTCCCACTTTGGAATAAGTTAATTATGTTTACATTACCTAACTTAGCATACATATGTTTCCCATGATTTAACCAAAAGCTGTAATTGTGAACTTTTTTCTCATACATTCATTATCTAACCAGCTCTTTATGTGTATTGACTATGCGCTCAAATGCTATCTACTACAGGATATCTGCACACACTACGGTACCGATTTTAGGCAACTGCTGCTGGCCCTTTTTTCTTTTCTCCCCACACTCATTTGTGCACATGACTTCACTCATCATCTTCATTAGTTTGCCAAATGGTCCTTCTCTAGCCCCGACTCTTCTCTTGGGCTTCAGTTCTACATTTCTGATGGTCCACTGGACAAATGTAACCAAATGTTCCCCTCAAAATCTAACAAAACCAAAACTGAATCTTCTTTTTCCTGCTCCGAAATCAGTCATTTCTGACTTGCCTCTTCCTGTCAGTGGAGCTGCCATTCTCTTGCCTGCCTAGGCTCCACTCCACTTCCCCCACAGATCATCACATTCTACCATCTCCTCCTTTAACACAGCCACAGCATGTTTTGGGGACAGGATTATGAATCTGGGGTCAGAAGGACTTGGGAAGTTAGTTGACCGAGATCTCTATGCCTCATTTTCCTCATCTTTAAAGTATACACTGGGATTGTTTTGAAGATTACATGATCCAATGCATACAAGAACCCAGTAGCACATAAGTTCTCACCATGCGTTGTTCTCTTCCCTGCCTTCCATCTCCGTAGCCAAAATTATAGTGGTGTCCCTCACAATATCTCATCTAAATGATTGCACTAAATTTCTAAACACTGCTTTTTCTCTCCAAACTCTTCCTAAAACACTATTTGGTTCACACTATAATCTTACCTAAAAGTCTTTAATGAATGTCTAATTTTTAAAGCAGAGGTGTCTACACTACTATATATGAAATAGATAATTAATAAGGACGTACTGTATAGCACAGGGAACTCTTCTCAATACTCTGTAATGACCTATATGAAAATAGAATCTAAAAAAGAATATATATGTATATGCATATATGTATATGTATAACTGAGTCACTTTGCTGTACACCTGAAACTAACACCACATTGTAAATTAACTATATTCCAGCAAAAATTAAAACAAAACAAAAAATAAAGCAGAGGTGTCTAAAATTGGGTGGTTACTTCTCACTAAAGTATAAACTCTTTCGGGAAGGGCAAGGACTTTTGTGTATTCACATTAACCTTCCCTGAAGCACAATGCATGCACCAGGGGCTCAGTGAACATTTCTTCCAAAAAAATGATTAAAATGATGATCTTATCTGAAAGTTTGCAACAGAATATGAGGAGTTGTTTTCAGTATGCTAAATTCTTCAAGGATACTTTTAATTTCAGTTCTGACCTTTATATGGTCTTTCTTAACTCACTTAAAAATATTTGGTAGCATTTCGCTTGTCTGCTTTAGGTGTGGGAGCAATAACTGTTGGCTTCATTCCTCAGTATGTTTTTCTATTCCTTGAAGAGATAAAAGTCTTGAATGAATTATGTACTGACTTTACAGTCATCAGCCACATTCACTGGAGGGCAGTGTTGTCACTAATCAGGCTCTAAATTCATTTCATTTTGCATTGCATTTGTTAGAGTCATCCGTTTATGAGTTAAAAGGAATATGGGAGTCTTTTTTTTTTAAGACTGGAATATATATCAGATGTGCACTACTGCACTTACCCTAATACAGCGGTTCTCAAACTTATATATGTATATGAACCACCCTAGACCTGGGCTGTCCAATACAACAGCCACTAGCCATGTGGCAATGAAGCACCTGAAATGTGGGCAGTCAAACTGAGATGTGCTGTGAGTGTAAAATATACAGTGGATTTTAAGGACTGAGTACATAACTTATGCTGATCATATATTGAAATGAAAATATTTTGGCTCTGTTGGGTTAAATAAAATGTACTGGAATTAATTTCATCTGATGCTATTTACTATTTTAAATTAAAAGTGGCTACTAGCATATTCAAAATTACATATATGACTCACATTTGTGGTTTATATTCCTTTTAGCACTGTCCCAGATGCTTGTTTAAAATGCTTCCTGGGTCCCACTTTTGGATATTCTGCTTTAGTACCTCCAGGTTAGGAACCAGAAATCTGATACTTTTTATCTCTCCAAGTAATTCAATTGATAAGTCAGAGTTTTATACTGCTTTTGACCAGATGATTTTAAGGGTCCTCAGCACAGCAAACAGTGATTCAAAGAGAACAAAGGGAGTAACAGTTTTCGGTTTCAATTGTGTGACAATGGCCACCCATAACAGTCATACATGTTTCTCAATTAGCAAAACACACTTCAAAACATAATCACAACACAACCATTTTATGGGAGTGGAAGGAAGCTGGGAACAATTAAGTAATATCTATCACAAATCTAAGTGCACATAACTGTTGCCTCACTTCTAGAAATCGATCTTGCCGATCTTCTCACAAGCTCACTATGATATACTTGTAATTCACTTCGGCACTATTTGAAATAGTGAAAAGCTGGAAAGTTATGAAATTATGACACGTCCAACTGAATACTATGCAGGCTATAAACAAGAAGGTCATCTATATGTACTGACACAGAAAGATGTCTATGATACTTACCGGGGGCAAAGCAAGTTGCAGAAAAGGACACAGATCCTATTTGCATGTGAAAAAATACGTACATATATGTGCATAGAAAGTTTCAAAAACTGTTAATATTGGTTACTGTTAATAGCAGGGAGAAGATTCCCAGCGATATGAAAAGGAACTTTTACTTTGCTTTTTATATCCTTTTGTACTGTTTTAGTTTTTTTAATATTAGGAATATGCAAATTTACATTGTACAGTACAAAATGGTTATTTTCAAATATACATAACGCCCAGCCAAGTAAACACTTCATCGCTTAGGTTCCTGTTATAGAAATTTGCTTTTCACTATTAACTTTTAATCTGGAGTTTGGTCTTCATTTTAATTTTCTAAAAAGCCACCGCATATATTCATTCATTTGTTTATTCAACCAGTAGTTACTAACCACCTGCGTTATGCCAGGCACTGTTCTAAGGCAGAAAAATAAAGAGCGGTGCACCGGCGGAGGACAATAAACAAACGCACACGTACATAATAACTAGTTGTTAAGTGCTATGAAGACCTCAAATTTCAAATGCCGAAATGTTCTAATGTCACGTGCTCCTGTGTGTGCATATACGTACGTATATTTACCCGTACTTACTAATTAATGCAATCATAGCTACTGAATTGAAGTGTCGTTTGGATAAAGCATTCTGGGAAATTTCTCAAATTAATCTTTCTCCAGCATGCATTATAATGAATTTTGTACAAAAAGATGTAAATAGCAAAGCCTTTTTTTTTTTGGTTGTGTGAATTTAGGAAAATTACTTAGCTACTTCAGGCCTCAGTGTTCTCCTCTACCAAGCGGAGGATTTACCTCTCGGGTCTCCCGTCTCGGGGTGAATTCTCTGGGCGTATCAGCGTAACAGCAGCGCCCAGCGCCCGGCGGCGTGTGGGTGGGGCGGGTCCCGCGGAGCGCAGCTGGGCCGCGTGCCGCGCGGCGGGCCGGCTCTCCCGAGACGCGCGGCGTTCTCGCTGTGGACCGGAGGAGAAACACGGTGCTTTCACAGACTTTTTTCACCCGAGCATTTCTGCCCGCCAATTTCTCTTTCCGGGCGTGCAGCGGTCGCCCGGCGTCAACTCCCGCAGGCGCCAGCCAACCAGCCAGCCCGACTTCTCGAGCAGGTCACCCGTTGAGGCCGCCCTACGCTCAAGTCCACTGCTACACTCAAGTCCACTGCCGGCCCCGAGCCGCCCCAGCCGTCGCGGGCAGACTTGGCTCAGTGTAGGTGGTAGCCTCGCCTGCAAAGGCGGCTGTTCGTTCAAATTCTGGCGCCACTCCCGCGCCACGTAGGGCCAGACTCGGAAGCGACGGACCACGGCGGGCCAGCGGGCGCGCGCCCGGGGCTGGGCGTGCGCGCCGCGGAGGGACGGCGCGCGCACCACGCCGCGGAACGAGCCCCCGAAAGAAAAGAGCCGCCTGGCGCGCTCTCGCTCCTCCCGTCAGGAGCCGGTCACGCCCCCTTACTCTACAGCGTCCAATAGATGCGAGAGGGAGGGGCGGCCTCTTTCCGGCTCGGGAGAGAGTATATAAGGAACTGCTGGCGACACCGCTCGGTCTTTTACGTCAGGACTTGGGATCTACCGTGTGGTTCTAGGTAAGCGGGCGTTGCGGGCGGTTGTCCGAGCGAACCCGGGCGGCGCAGCTTAGGTTGGGAGCTGCAGTAAGGTGAAACGATTTCAGAAATTGGAGCTTAGAGTGCGGTGATGAAAACTTGGACGTGGGGAACGCGCCGCCGGGCCGCCACGTGTCCCGAGTCGTGGTGGCGGCCGGCTTCGAGCGTAGGCGTGCGGAGGCGGCCGCTTGTGGCCGCGCGGCCTGGTTGTTACGCCCGGGCAGCCCCTGACTGAGCCTGGGAGGCGACCGGCAGAAGACAACATTCCTGGGATTTGGGGGCGGGGGGTTACCCTTAACGTTAAGAGCAAGAGTCCCGTGATAGGGTGTCTTTCTCCCATGGCCAGATCAACAGTTATTTCAAAACGGGCAGCCCCGGACTCGGCGTGAGACTGAGTTGTATTGTGCCGAGGTGGCGCTGTGTGCAAATAGGATTATTGAAGGGGAGGAGTTTAGTGCTGAAAACCTTGAACTATGACTTTCTGTGAGAATGCTTAATTTTAAATAGATGCCCCGCAAGAACAATGGCTTTAGGTGTAACGGAGCTGTTATGTGGAGAGGCAGAGGTAAGGGTTGTTGAGGGCTTATTTTTAAACCGAAGGAGTAAACCTGTTGATTTACAGAAACGATGATGGAGCATCATTTGAAATTAAACTTTTTTTTAGATGCAAAGAAAAGTTCCAAAACGTATGGGAGAAGGTTTGCTGGAAAATGACTTGGTTAAAACTTGACAATCTTACCAGGTGTGTATTGGACTCGTATTAATACTTTGAGTCTGCATGTGTTTAGTCCACATGTAGAGTAAATGAGAAATTTTTTTGTCCTCGAAGGAGCATCCTGCAGGTCGATGAATACTAATGAAGCTATGACCGTCACCGATTGATGATGAACAGCTTCATTTGAAAGTAAGTTATGTGGCTTACAGCATCTACTATAGCATTCCGTAGTACTTGCCTTTTAATGTTGCTATGGTTTAGGGTAAGTGTCAGTGTGATCGAGCTTAATGGAGTTTGGTCTGATCAATGAGGAAAGCTATCCCTAAACGGATTACCTGAAGAAAAGTATGTACGGATTCGGCTTCTGAGATAAGACCAATATGCAGATATGAGATAACAAATTTTTGTTGCCTGGATTTTATAACTGAGTTTTCTGTTAGCTTATGCCTCTTATAGGGGAAAAACTGTTGCTTCACACTAGTGTTTTTCTTCTCTGCCAACAGTGACAGGGGTCGCTGTCCGCCTATTGAAAGAGGCCAGTTTGCCATGAAGTTCCTAAGGTGTAAATATGTCTGTGAGTAGAGATATTTTGCTTAACAATCAGTCAATCTTGTGTCCTTGGTCTTATCTATGATGATCCTATCCCGAACCTGAAGTTCTGTTGAAAAAAACTTATATACGGATCTGGCTTCTGAGATAGACCATTATAAGGACGACAGTATTTTTGAAAATTCCTTTAAATAAGTTCTTGAGATGTTGATAGTCTTGTAAATCTCAAATGTTCTTCCTTTTCTAGGGCTAGTGCCACGAGATTTACTTGTCTGTTGTATGAAAAACTGGTGATCAGGAAAAGCTCTTCATTTTATGGACACGGAAAGAAAACAAAACTCAAGACAGATTATTTAATTTTGAAATTGCATTTGTAAAAAGATTTCTGAGCCAACGTCAAATCTAGATTAATGCATCCATAAGATTCAAGCCATTTCTGTTTAATCTTGTCACTGTCCTAGAGTCATAACCTGTTAGCCAGTATATTATTGATACTTTCTAGCTCTGAAACTGTTTTTAATGGAAAATTATTTTTCAGTTGTCCAGCCTTGTAATTAAATAATTCTGAGTGAATGTTTAGCCTTTGGTCACCTGTCTGAATTTAAAATGCATAATTGTAAATACAGCCAAGTGAGAGTTTATACTATTGTAGGAAAATCCTTAGAAGGGAGAGATGACTGGGTTTGGCGATCACAAGGGGATATGGAAAACCTTGGCTTTGTGCAGGGTACTAAGTATTACAGAATTACTGGAGGTGAGGGCAGAGGAGAGAGACAGGACCTATGACTGGGGTGAGGGGAGGTAAGCCAGGCAGCAAAACAATCCAGTATACTAGCTGAATTGTGGAATATTTAGTCCTAGTATAATAGTAATATGAAGGGGTATTTATGCTAAAAATGGGGAGGAGTAATGCTGAAAATTAAGGAAGAGAGCACAGCATAAAAGTCAGGAGCCATGAGGGAAGGTCACTGATAAAATCTGGGTTAAAACTGGTCAAACATTGTACAGAATGGATTAGTGTAAACAGTAATAGCATCTGATCTAACCAAGGTGGTTGGGCTCCGTGCATAATCATTTTCCCTAAATAGCTGCATGAATAAATTGTTCCCAAGCCCATATTTAAATGTCAAAGTTAGAGTGCCAATATTCTTGTCACCTTATAATGAACTCTGTTTCTTAAAATGTTCACCTGCCTTGGTGAGAATTCAATTGGGTCCATGCAGCTCAGTCAGGTTCATGAGACTGATAAGCCTGTAGTGGTCAGGCACATAGTGAATTTGGCCCAAGTATTAAGACGTTGTACAAAAATGGGGCTCTGAAAATGTTTCTTGCAGTCCGTGTACAGCATTGTGTTACATTGTTCTTTATTGCACTCAGTGTATTTGGAAATGAGGAAACTTTGGCACTGCAATCTGCACCGTTGATCACTGATCTCCCTTACCCTGCTTTATTTGGTTGGAACTTTTACAACATGCTCGATAAGATCTGTTTCACACACTGACATCTTAAGTACCTAGATACCTTAACTACCTGGCACTTGGTTGTCAGTAAATGTTAAACAAACAATGAATGATTAAAGACCAATTGGGATCTACACAAAACTTGCAGAGAAAACTGCCCTTTTGTCAAAGTTGGCAAACATCAGTCACTTCAAAACAAGGCATGAAATGAATAAAACTTGGCTTTAGAGCCCTTTGACCTCAGTCCCTTCTGGTTTTGCTCCTTTCCCTCCCAGTCAGTCTTATAATATTTCCTTAGTTGATAAAATCCAAATAATGTACATATACTTCATTGCACTATACTAGGTCCTGCCAGGGAGGTCAAGGGTAAAACATTTCCTATGTCCTCTGTCACATCAATAGTTGTACGAGATACCAAGAAAGAAGGCAAGATACAGGGATGCAAAGAACTGAGAAGATTGAACAAGTGATACATTTAGGCGTAGGAGACACCAACCAAAGATGGTATGCTGAAGGTGGTAAATTGAGAATTTAGGCATCAGTTGGATGGATAGATGTGGGACAAATAAGGTGGAGGATAAGACTGAAATGGTACAGTACCCCAAGCTTTTTGAGCAACAGAGAACTAAAAGAAAGCTATCATTCAAATTCCCTGAAACTTGACATGTTTTCAGTAGGAAGAGACATAGTCACTTATTGAGCCCTACTGATTTTGCAGGGTACACACTTGACAAGAGATGAGAGTTGGGTCCAGAAAGGTACAATTTTAGTGGAACTTAGCTCAACATAGCAGCTTCCTTTTAAATTACCGATTGATTTAGTAGCACTTTTCTTTCGCACAGCAGAGGTCTTGTTATCCTCTACGGCCTTCTGATTTGTGAATGCTGACCTAGCTGGACAATAGGCAACTACTAGCTGAGACCAGGGACCTTAAGCTGTTATCTGGGTAAGGGATTTACCTTCCAGAGCATATCTGCTAAAAGAGGCAGCGTAGATTAAAAATCAAAAGCCTAAAGACAAACGAATAGGACTGAAATAGACCAGGATCTGCTTGGTTAGGGCTGGTTTCAGATTGAAAGAGCAGATTCTACATGTGTGACTTGAGCCAATAATTTTCCCTGCGTAACACCATGCCCCCAGGTTATCTTAAAATACAGTAGGCTCAATCCTACCTTTTGGTGTTTTCTAAATTAGTTCTATTGCTAGAAATCCAATATCCACTGCACTTGGCTTCCTAGTCAGGTGCCCTCTGAACTGATTATACACTTCATAATCCTTGCTGTTTGCCCAGCCTGTGTGAAGGCTTTTGGCTGTTTCATGATTTTTAAACCAGTTCACCCATTAAATTTAGAGCCTTTGAATCCCAGCCTACTAGGATAGTCTGCTTATCTTTTGTCAATTCCTCCTCCCTGGGGGTGGGACCCTCCCCATATTTCTTCCCAAAAGCTTGGTTCCAGATCCAGATAGTATTTAAAGCATGGTATTTATAATTACCTCACTGAATATTGCCACTGCCTCTGGCATTGTTCCACCTCACTGATTCTACATTTTGGAGTATGTACAGAAATCAGGTCAAAATATAAGTGTGCCATGAAGCTTTGAAAATTTTATGGACCATTTTGAGGTGGGGCGGGAAGGGTACCTTTCTAATATGAGAACCACTCAGTCTCATTCTCACAAGTCTTGGCCTCTTCCCCCTGACCACTAGTCAGTCCATCTCTGAGGTCCTGGCATGCCATGCAGCTGAGTTATAACAGGAAATAGATTTAATCTCACAGAATCCCACATGGAGTACAGTATGATCCAATGTACTTGGGAACTTTACCTTAGTTATGCTTACTCAGTTGATTATAGTTCCTTTCAAAGGAGTATTAACAACGCAAAAAGCATTTCAGAATTCTCATAGAATTCATCATTTGAAGAAAATATTTGTAAATACAGTACATTACTGAGGTCAGGAAACTGGATGTGCCCTTGCCTCCTAACTACTGAATACAGTTACAGAACAATAAATGGTTCATTTTTAAAGTGTACAGTTTGATGAGTGTAAGTATGCACCCATGAAACCATTACTGCAATCAAGATAGTGGTTAAATCCATCTCTCCCCAAAGCGCCTTTTTGCAGAGGCTTGATTTTGAACATGGTAAGTTTGAGATATGGGGAGAGATCTGAGCTGGAGAGTCATCATGTGGATGGTATATTTAAAGCCATAAGGTGAGATCACCAAGGGATTGAATACCAATGGAGAAGTAGTCCAAGAGTTGAGTCCTGGGACATTCCAGGAGTAAGACATTTCAGGTTTATTTCAAATCCTAAAGATGATTTTGTATCAACAAAAACTGGGAAACAGAAATCTGTTGTCAAGTTCAACTGCCGCATCTGAAACAAACTAGATAGAAAATCAAGGAGTTTCAGAAAACAAGGGTGAGAGCTAAGCAAATAATTGCTTGGGGTAATGAGGCTGGAGGTCAGCATAAAATTGAAGGAGTTAATATCCAAGGACAACTTTGCAAAGTGGCCTTCCAGAGAGAAGGAGATGAGGAATTTACGAAGTGTGTTAAAGGTTTTCATCAGACACTGGCCTTGGAGAAGTGGAGTTGACTACAGACAAGTTAGGTGTGCCTTGCGGTGCTAAAGTGCCTGGTGAGGCTGAAAACTACCAAGTGTAGTAGTTAACATAATTCTTCACTACTCTTCTATGGAGCTCATCCATGTGGGAGCAGAAAGCAGATCAGTGGATTAATCCAAAATTAGGGATAAACTGGACAGGAGGAGCAGAGTCATGATGGGCCAATCAAGGGTGAAGATGAAAGTAGTGTTAAAATTGACCTTGAGATCCAGGTTGATTAGGGAAAAAAATTAGACTGCTGGAAAACCGTCCCAGGTAATAACAAAGATGAGATGTACCATAGAAAGATGATGAAAATGAGGTAAAATAAGATCCTCTCCAGTTATACTATAAAATGACCCATAGCAGTTGTATTTCTAATTAGTGTTTATCTCTCTCTGGCCCTAGAGTGTGTTCTTTTCAAGCAGAAACTGTGCTCTTTCGCTTCTTAAACTCTGTGCCTAGTATACAATGTAATGACTCCCATTACAAATTAGTCTCATTAAAATGGAATTCAGTATGCATATTTAGGGTGGGCAATGATGGTATGATCTAAGTTCTCCAAAAGAGATAAAAGTAATGAGAAAAGTTGAAAACTTGTGATGGACTCAATATTTGTGTCCTCCCAAAATTCATATGTTGAAGCCTTAACCCCAGTGTGGCAATATTTGGAGATGGAGCCTCAGGGGAAGTAATTAAGGTTAAATGATGTCATAAGGGTAGGGCCCTTGTCCGATAGGATGAGTGTCCTTGTAAGAAGAAACACCAGAGAGCTCCCTCTCCCTCTCCATGTGCACCCATGAGAAAGAGGTCATGTGAGGATACAGTGTGGCGGTGGTTGCCTACAAGCCCAAACAAGAGGCCTCAGAATAAAACCTGCCTTGCCGGCACCTTGATCTTGGACTTTCCAGCCTCCAGAGCTATGAGAAAATTAATTTCTATTGTTTAAGCCATTCAGTCTGTGGTATTTTGTTATGGCAGCTCTAACAGGCTAAGACAGAAGTAAAGGATAAATGGCCACTGCTATAATTAGGGGACTTTATATTTAGCTAAAGATTTATGAGTAATAACTACTGAAAAAGTCCATGCAATGTAATGTCTCTGGTTTTATACATTTTCCCTTTAGGTTTTTACTTATTACATTGAAACTGGATTGACAATGCACTTCCTTTTTTTTTTTTTCTTTAAATGCACTTTCTTATTGAATAATAAACAGCTGCCACTCACAAGCTTTCCAACCTGTTTCAACATCAAGATCAGTTATTTAAGAAATAGATGATTTTTCAATTAAAAAAATCTCAGTAAAAAAACTAGAGGGAATTCCCTGACAGTCCAGTGGTTAGTACTACTTGCTTCCACTGCAGGGGGCAGAGGTTCAATCCCTGGTTGGGGAACTAAGATCCCACATGCTGCACAGCGTGGCCAAAAAAAAAAACAATTAGAGATAGAAATTAAACTATCTTATAAAGTGAATGTTATCTGAAGTCTTATGGTTCACAGGAAAACCTTT